GTAGGGAAAATGTTAGTTGTGGACACTCAGAGGAGAGCTTTGTAAATTGCTGTATTCACTCGGTTGTCTTCTTTATACACACATGAAGTGAAAATAGTTTCAGACTCAGTTTCAGATCTGCTTCCGTGCCAGACACACATTACATATTTTACAGCCTGCTCAAACTCAGATGGCAAATTAATGACTTTCCTGAACTGCTCCTATCTTCTCAGTTTAGCACATCCTCCAACTTGAAAGGCTCCATTTCTCTTACCATGTTGAAACAGCTGGCATTTTTTATGCTTTTTAGTGACGTCAGGTGTTCTTGTGTCATGCATGTATGATGTAAAGTTTCACAGCTTCCAAGCAGTGCGAATTTTCTTCTTACCCACTGCCAAGTCGATGCATTTATTAGAGTTGTTCAGGAGCCTCAGAAGTACTTGGGAGATTCCTGAGATAATGTTGCCAAAGTGACTTTTTTTTTTTTTTGGTGTGATTTATGTTCTTTTGTAAAGATACACTTGTTTCCACAAAAGCTTTGATGGGACGGTGAGATGGGAAGGGAGTCTGATAAACTGTGTACTACCAGAGCTGCCAAACCCTGCCTGAAAGCCAGGGGTAGCCTTATGTGGGACGAAGAATTCTTTTGCAAATGAAGTTAGAGCAAAACCTTGAGGGCACTAGTGACTTCCCACAAGCTAATCCATAAAACCCTGCCTCATACAGAGAGCGTGGTATACACCCACACACTCCCATTTGAGTAAAATTATCCCAGTTGTTTTGCTTCAGTTCCAGTTTGCAGTGAAACCTCATGAAAGGACACTAAAGATTCTCTGGAAATGAGGTCTTGGTAGCCAGAATGTGCTCATTTTGGTAAGGAAGAAGGAGCAGTAACCCCCATGAATGTGCTTAGTATGGAGATCAGGTGAGAACTGCCCACATGATGCTTCAGGAAAAGTTACTGAGCACTTTCTGGGCCTGTCTTGGTCAGAAAATTTGCACACTTTATGGAGTGATACAAAGCAATTTATGAGGAAATGAGCCTAAAAATTTTAGTGTGAAAGCCAAATTTTTAGGCACTAATTTTTAAGGAATTCTGAGTTTTTACTTTGCTCTTCCTGCCTGATGACCAGTGGCCATCCTTCAACCTAAACATTACTACTCCCAACTCTCGTGGTTTAACCCCAGCTGGCAACTAAGCTTCACACAGCTGCTTGCTCACTCCTGCCTGCTGGGATGGGGAAAAGAAGCAGAAGTGTACAAGAGAGAAAACTCTTTGGTTAAGATAAAGGCAGTTTAACAGGTAAAGCAAAAGCCGTGCACTCAAGCAAAGCAAACCAAGGAATTCCTTCACTACTTCCCACAGGCAGGCAGGTGTTCAGCCATCTCCAGGAAAGCCAGGCTTCATCATGTGTAACAGTGACTTGGGAAGACAAAACCGTCACTCTTAGCATCCCCCTTTCCTTCTTCTTCCCCCAGCTTTATATGCTGAGCATCATGTCACCTGATATGGGGTATCCCTTTGGTGAGTTGGGGTCAGCTGTCCCAGCTGTGTCCCCTCCCAGCTCCTTGTGCACCTGCACTCTAGCAAAGCATGGGAATTTGAAAAGTCCTTGCTTTCTTAGCAACAACCAAAAACCATCAGTGTATTTTCAACACTCTCCTCATACCAAATCCCATATTAAATCCAAACCACAATGCACCTCTAGCTACTAAGAAGAAAATTAGCTCTATCCCAGCTATTTATAGATCAGCTAAAGAGTCTGTGTTTTCTAAAGCTGTGTGAGAAAAAGTACTACCATACTAATGCTAAAATGCTCTGGTACTGGAGTTGGATGCACAAAAAAAGTCCTGTGCTACTTAAGTGATGTGGTTTTCTAACACAGGTGCATCAGGAAAAATACGATTTCAAAGAAAATTTTTAGCATTCTCCTTGTAAAGGAGGCCTTGTAAAAGATTATTATTTGCTATCATAAATCAAAGGAGAATGAGACAGATAAAAGGCTAATGTTGAAAATGAAGTTCAGCTTTTCCAGGCTTTGTAGTACTTCATTATTTTTCATTCCGAGCAGCGGTTACATAGAAGGGTGAACAAGTTCAGTTTGCTTGATGTAGAAGTAGAGAAGTAAACTTAGGCCGTATTGCAGAGATGCAGTGACATGTCTAGACAGCTTTGGTAAGAACAAGGCATTAATAGTTTGACTTTCTGAAATGTTGAACACCCTGCAACTTCCATTAATTTAACTTAAAGTTGCATAGATTCAGAACTTAGAAGAATTCTAGCCCTGGTCACTTGGCTTGTGAAGCATCAGCTATTATCCTGCAAGATTTTCTCTGTAAGTCATGTAGTATTTTCTACTTTATGTGGATCCCAAAACACTTGGCAAAAGGGTTTATTTGTGTTTTTTTTTTTCTAGAGGCACTGTGGTGCATGTGAGCTTCTTATATTAGAAAGCAGAATGTTTGTTCCTCACTCTGTTTTTTAACTGTATTGGGAGAAAATATTCAAAAGCCTGCCTTCCTTGGCACCTTAGTAGCATTAGTACTCAATTGGCTCATTAAGTGTGACTTGAGCTTTGAAGATTGAGGTGACTGCAGGGGATAGAAAAGGTCAATCAAGAGATGCAGGAGGCACAGCACCTGGTGCTTATGGCCAAGGACTGAGGAGTCTTTGTAGTCTTTCCTAAATGAAACTATAAACTCTCATTTCAGATAATTGGAGGAGAATTCAGAGTTTACTGCAAAACTCAGTAAGCTGCACATGCTGAAATTAGTAACATTGCAGTGATTTATCATTAGCTAAGAATATGGTTCATTTTTCCATAGAAACTTTGGAAAATGGAAAAGAGTAAGCAAGAGAAGGCCAAGGTCTTCGTGAAAGAAAACAACTGGTACAGACATCATCACTCCAACCTGCTCCCACCCCCACCTTTTTCTTTTTGTGTGTGTGTGATCTTGCCTAGTGTATCTGTATAGCTCTTCAGATTATTCCTATACATCAAAAAAATTCTTCATGGCTACCTGAGTCACACTGCTTGGCAGTGTGGTGACAATTGTCCTTCAGGGAGTGAGAAGACAGACTTACATGTAAGGCTTCCAGAAAACTTGTGGGGTTTTTCCCTTCTGTTGAATAAAAAACAGATCACAGGTGCCTGAATTATATGTGAATGGTATCGGGCATGGGATTTTTTTAGTTGGTTGGGTTTTTTGTTGTGTTTTTTTTGGTTGTTGTTTGTTTTTTTGTTTGTTTTTGATTATTTTTTGTGGTGTTTTTTTCCCCCACTTTCACAGAAAGGAGAAGCAGAAAACTATAGTTCCAAGTCAAATAAACTCGTTCTTAAATCCAGCTATGTGCCTTAACTGCTAGGGAAAAGGGGAGCAGCCCCACCCCTGCTTCATGCAATTGCATTCTTAGCATCAGCTACAAAGCTAAAAGTTTTAGAAACATAAAACCAGATCATTTTGCACTTTCCCAGGCTTTTTTTTTTTTTAGTGTTTTATTCCTACTGAAGTGCACTGATGAATTCTGTTAAATTCATCACCAGTTTCCTGAAATTGTATTCATTATTGCTAGTAAAAATGTAGTTGACTTCGACTTTCCATTGTATGTGAGAGGAGATGGAAAACACTAAATGATTTTTTGTTAGTTGGTGATTTAATGCTCTCTGGAAACCATGGGCAGAGGGATTGAAGGCAGGTCTGCCTTGCTGTGTTCTGGCTGTTCCCAGCCTCTCCGTTCCTGCTGCTGTTGCGTTCCTGAGGACACATCTGCTGCGGCAGGTTGTTATCATTGATCTGCAAATGCCCTCGGAAAGCAGGATTTTCTTTTTGTGTGTGTCTACTCACATGCGTTTTGCCCGTGTCTGTGTCCGGTGGCCACCGGGTGTCACTGCAGCTCCGTGTAATTACCGGGGAAAAACTGGGATAAGGATCAGTTTGGTAATGGGGAGATTTGAAGGATGGTTTGATTCCGCATGTTTGGATGCTAATGAATGTACACATCAAGGGCCCGATTCCGCTAAGTTCCTAACTCAGAATTTGGCATCTATACTCATTCTGTACTGAAATCATCCTTCCAAAAGGTTGCTGTGCTGGGACCAGTAAAGCCACAGGAAAACATACATATCCTTCTACTCCCCTACCCCTGAAATATACAGAGCAGCTTAAGACCTGCAGCTTAGTATGTGTGTAGAGACCCTGCATGAAGCCCTGCTTATCCCAGTCAAACGGTGCACCTGCCTGGGACAGGCTGCAGCATCAGTAGGAAAATTATAATATTTAAAACAAAAGCTTGTGAGAGGGCACTGAAGGTCAGACAAAAAGCTGGCATGGCTGTTTCTTTGCAAATTCTTTACTACCTTCAGTTGTCTGGTGTACTTGTGCTTACATTGCAGCTGCTTCCCCAAATCACGGATTTTTTGCTATTATCGTAATTAGATGTATTGTTTCTTTTCCTGCATTTCTTTTCCCAGGCACGTTAGCTGGCGTGATAGATTTGGCTGTGGACTGGATGACAGACCTGAAGGAGGGTGTCTGCCTGTCTGCCTTCTGGTACAGCCACGAGCAGTGCTGCTGGACGTCTAATGAAACCACATTTGATGACAGGGACAAATGTCCCCAGTGGCAGAAATGGTCTGAACTTCTTGTAAGCCAGTCTGAGGTACGGGAGACCTGATTAGGTTGGGGTCACAGCAGGCCAGGGAATGCCCTTTTTCATCCTTGCTGATGTTCCCTCCAGAGAGTTCCTGTGAAAGAGAAAGTAATGAACTGAGAGCCTTGCAAAAGCAAACAAAAAAAAGGCATTTCCACAAGCAGTATCTGCTTAACTTGGGAATGGTCCCATTGTTTCAGTGTCGTGCGTTATGGAAATTGGAAAACTGCAAGATTGCTCTGTCTTTGTGCCAGTATTAAAAAAAAAAGGAGTTTCATAACACTCATAACATAATCACCAGGGGACCTGAGCTGTTATCCCTTTTTTCTTTTCTTTTCTTTTTTTTTTTTTTTTTTTTTTCCTTTTAATTTCTTTTCTTTTAAACACAATTTTATGGGACAAAAAAGATGATCCCCGACAAATACGTTCTATAGGAAGTTTTTGGGATTGCAGATGTTTTTTATATATTCAAATGCTGTGAGTAGTAGTGGGAACTGCCTAAGTACTGCTTGTTATGCCCTTGCAACCAGTTTCTCTACCAGATAGGAAGATATTTAGCTCATGCCAAAAGCTGGGGAAATAATGGGCTGCCTGGGAGATGGTCAAAGTGAAGACTGTGCTGGGGGAGAGAATAGGCAGAGAAAAAGCTGATCTGGACTGACATGAAACTTGCATTTTAAGAACCTTTTTTCTGTAATTGAAAAAAATAATATTATAGTACTTTCAATACAAAGAATATTGTTTCAAAGCAAACCAGGTGAAAGTTTTGTCTTGAAGGCATCAGAAGAGGCCTTTCTAAAATCCTTTTAGCAGATGATACTTTATAAAAAACATGAAAATGCATTTTTATTTTCAACCTAAGTTATTTGATGAATTGAATAATATTGATCTATTCACAATCCAATTTTTTGAGCAGAATTATTTTCTTGAATACCCCCTTCATTTTTACAGGTGACTTGACCATGACAAAAATTGAATATGACTTAGAGGTGAGATGAATGTGGCTTTGAAGAGAACTGGCTTAAAAATCTGGTGATACAGATTGGCCAGTAATAGGAGAGGAAAAAAAAAATATATATTTCTATGAGAGAAATCATCTCCAGTCAGGCAATTAAAAAATGAGTGACCCGGAGAGATTGTCTCAGATCTTCCTCAAGTCTAGAGGTGGTTTGGTCCTGCAGAAAGTGTTAGAGGGCACCTTAAGTTTGTCATTCATGTTCCCTTCAGTCCTGGTTTAGGTTTACAGCAGTAACTAGTACTAGATGAGAGCACCTGTGAATATGTGTGGCCCAATTTTCCATAGTTCTAATCAACCATAGTGAAAGTAGTAGGGTGCTCAGTGTTCCTGAATATTCCCACCATTTGATCACAGGCAGGAATCTCTCTGCACAGTTGCCAGTCCACAGTGTCAAGCTTCCCTTTGCCAGAGGTTTGCTGGGTTCGTCAACAGATGGTTTGGGTGGCTGTGTCTTTGTAACAGTGAAGAAACCTTACCCTGGTGTAAAGTTGCAGGCCTGGAGATGATGTTGTAATTTAAGAGAACAAAAAAATGTGGGAAGGGAATAAAGAGGAGAATGTTACAATTGTTATGGGATTTGGAAAGCCTCTGCATGTGTTTGACATTGTGTTACACTGACAGGCTGGGATATATGAGCAGAGCATATCCTTGAGAAAATTTATTCCTTTCACCTGCTACTCGAAATCAGTAGTCACAGCTCTTGGATGCTGGGGCTGATAAGAAAGGTATCAGCTAGGTGGGTAGTGTGAAACTTTACTCACTTTGTATTCAGATCGAGTTTTTCACCCCCTAGTATACTCTCACAATGGGGAAAAAAAGAAAAAAAGAAAGAAAAGGAAAGAAAAAGGGAGGTTAATCTTGGCTTAGTTTTAGGCCCATTTTCAAAACAAATGGGCCTCTAAGATCTGTGTGTTTCTCGGCTGCCACGACCCAATGGTTATTGTAAATACTACTAACATAGCTGTCTAGTACTGTTACATTGAAATCCCAGGCAAAGCCCATCAAAAATGGGAATATGGAAAGTAAAAAGTCTATTTTGCAGAAAAAGGCTTGTGATATGAGCAAGTTTTGCATGAGTCCTGCAGCTGCAGAGGACTTTAAGAAGGATCAAAATACACTGCATTTGACTGTGTTTCAGGATAATTCTGCCTTTTTTCTTTATTTCTTTTTTTGTATGTTGATTCATTTTGTGCCAGAAATATGGATATATGGAAAACAGCCCTATAAAATGCACAGTTCACAGAAAGAACTCTGGCAGGGGGGTCCTGCTCTGGCGGGGGGGTTGGACTAGATGATCTCTCGAGGTCCCTTCCAGCCCCTAAGATTCTATGATTCTATGAAAGACTAATTTGGAAAACATTTTAAACAGAAAGTACTTGGACCAGTTTCTCTAAAGGTGCTCTGCTCAGACATGTCTTCTTTTTTATGCATCACTGTAAGTCCTTCTAATCAGAGATAAGACATTTTGAGGACTAAGATTTAGATCTGTTTTTCCTTGTGGTTTTGCCAGTTTATGGCTGTGATAAATCCTGAGAATTGTGGCATTTCCTATGGCATCTCTTGAAAAATATTTTTATTGTAGTCCTCCTATAAAATGACCTGAAAGCAGAGTCTTGATGTAGATTATTATGAAAAACATAATAACACATCCAAAATATACCAGACTGTCTCCTTGCCTAATTACTGTTTTGTAAACCAATGGCAACCTTCCTTCCTCTGTTCCTAAACTGCTTCCAAAGAGCATGCGAAGAATTTTTTGATGCAAAAGTTTCAAAACATCAGAATCACTGGAGGAGTGGCTGTGTTAAAGCACATTAGATGCCATCTACTTCAGCTCTATCTCTATCCCATCTGGTGATCCAGACCTTCCTTATTCTGTAGATCCAGCTTGGTCCTAACCTCAACTTCACTGGAGCTGAGGACCCCATTTCTGGTGCCTCACATCCATCCAAAGCAGAGGAAAGGGCCCCGTGTCTTCCATGGCTCCTGTTACCAGATCCAGAAATGGACTGGATTCCCAGTCCAGGGCTTCTGGATCTCCTGTCATGACAGAGAAGCTTCTCTGTACCTGGAACCCACTTCCCAGTTTGTAACCTCCACCGGATGTCAAGTCGGAGTACAGTGCTCAGCCTCTAGAGGAAGCCAGCACTGGCCAGCCATGGATGACACCCCGAGGGATGTGTTCTATTTCAGCATCCTTAGGTTGTGGGGGTTGTTTTCAGCTGTGTTCCATTTGTACCCAAATTGGACTCACACCAGGTCTGAAATGCTGCTGGGTCTTGCAAACTAAAATGCAGAAGTTTGCTCGGTTCCCCTGCGTGCTTCATTGCTATTGCTGCCAGTCCCACAGCCCGCTGGTGGCAAAGGTCCTAGCAGAACTATCTCTGCTGATGTGTGGTTTTGGTCTCTGATTCCCACTTACAAGACTCTCACAGATTCAGGGCCTTAGTAATGGCATGTAATGAATGAGAAATGAGCCATTTGCTACACTGAGTTACTACTACTTCACTTCCCCACGGTTTTCTTGTTATTAATCATTAGAAACTCCTGTAATAGGACCTGTAGAATGCCAGATATCTGGAAAATGTAACAATGAGAGTTTTCCCAAGGGATGAGACTGAACTGCTCATGTAGACTCTTCTGGGGTCCTGCCACAGTGCTGTAGGTGTATGTGTGATTGCAGTAATGAGCTGACATAGTTTTCCCATGACTCTGAGATGTGAAAGAAGAGGAAGTAAAAAGAAACCAAGTTAATTTGAGTCCAGTGAATTTAAAAACAAAATTGCAGCTTTCACTCAACATCTTAGGGCTGAGTTGCTGTAATGGTGTAGGCCTTCTTTGGAGTTACTCCAGGTTCACACTGACAGGAGAATTTTGCCCTCAGGCAAGATATCCAGAGTTTTCTCTAGAGGAAGAGTAAATATTGCCATAGCTGTTTGTAATTGAAAGCACTAGGAGAAGACATTAATGAGGAAATGAGACCATCTTCAGCTGTAGCAACAAAGATCCATGGTTACTACAGATGGACGTCGATCAGACTAAGCATGGAATCCATGACTGCTTAGTCTCAGGGCACTGGGGGATGGCATCACATTGCTCTTCTACTGTTATCAGAAAATCCATCTGCTAACTTTACCAATCACAAGAGGGCCTTAATAAATTGCCTTTCTTCCAAATATATCCATAAGGGTAAGGGCAGTGGTTCCCTTACTGCCTTTTTAATGGGACAGAGACCTGGCAAGTGAGGTTAGAAAGAATTTGTACTGTTAAAGGTTGATTCCTTCTAGGTTTGGAAACAGGGAGACTTTGCAGCTCTAGTTTTTTTGTGACTGGGAACTGGGCCTGGCCAACTCTGTCAACTGAAGACACAATACAACTGATTAATGCCTGTTTTCCTACTTGATTTATCATAATGTTGATATCCAGGCTGCTGTCCTGCAGAGCAAAGACAGGGGCCCCGATGTTCTTGAGCAGCTGGAATTGCATCCGGTAGGAAGAGTTCACTTAGAGGTGAAGGATTCATACCAACTCATGTACTGAGGTTCATCTTGGTTTTTATTTTGTAGGGTCATGTTGCTAGAGGAGATTGTTTGAAGGTTTAAACTCCTGGTATCAATTAGATGCCTCTGACTAGATTCTCTTTTGTCTGTGTAGGTGGGTTTTTGAAATGAATCTAAAAAATTATGCTTCCACAGGGAGGGCTATTCTAAGGCAGACTTTAACAGTTTTGACTTGACCATTGGAGACAGGCAGAAAGCTGGAAGGTCACTACTGACTGTTTTTTTCACTATGGCACTGCATGGGCAAACATTGCTATTAATCATTAGCATTTCCATCTGTCAGTAAAGTAAAGGTATTCAGTGTTAAGACAGGTTATTATTGACTGGAATGCTTTTAAAATATCAGGGTGAAAATGATTGAGATGTGTCTGACTGGCATCTGCCAAGCTACTGTGTTTTCATTTCAACTGAGTGCCATATAGAAGGAAATACTTTCTTTACAATTTTACCCTTCCTGTTTGTGAACTGAATGGGCTACTGATATACTCAGGGATGTTGTTTGGAAAGATCAGCATGTGCATGGAGTACTGACCTTTGAACACTAGTAGCCCTCAGAAAAAGATGTATCAGGGTCTCAGCCCCTGTCACCCACCATGGGAAGAAACAGCAGATTCCTTCATTAGGTGCCTTTTATCACCAATTACTTTTGTCCCTATGAAAGATTTGTTAGACATTTCAGAGGTTATTTATGGCTGACTTAATTTTTTAGTGCTTGAAAGATGCTCTGTTTAAAGTGTTTGGGATCCTTGCCAACAGACTGTATGGACTGGATTAGGTATATATGAGCATGCAGCTTCTTTCCATGAGTAATGAAAGTGTTGGAGTGTATAAACCCATTTCTCCCTCCTGAGGAAAAGTAGCAGCTAGCATGTAAATGAAAAGACCAGACTCTGTGCCACTATGATCCCTAGAAGAAGTGTGAGATTTACCAACCTGCATTTGTCTAACAATGTTTGTTACTGTTATTTTTCTAGGGTGCAAGTGCTTACATTCTAAACTATTTTCTATACATTATGTGGGCTCTATGTTTTGCTTTCCTGGCAGTCTCCCTAGTCAGAGTGTTTGCTCCCTATGCCTGTGGCTCTGGAATCCCAGAGGTGAGTTTCTCTTTGTGCATGAATATCCAAAAACCAAACAAATCAAACAAACAAAAAGATAATTTACTGCATTTTCCCATTCCAGAACTGTACTATGAGATAGCATAGCTATATAGGAACTGTAAAGTTCCTAATAGGATAATAGTCTTTCCATCTCATCTGCTGTCATCACTTTGTCTAACATGCCTTCGTGGTACCAATATCAATTTTTCACAGTACAAAATGTTTAAATGCCACTGTGACAGGTTAATATACATGCATCTTCATTGCCAGAGCTTGAATTAAAAATCAGCAGCTCCTGATCATCACTTTATGGAGTCCAGCCTTTTGTGGCTGAAACACATACTCACTAGAAGGTTATACAGAATTTTCCTTGGATGAAATTACTTGGGCCAGTTTCAAAAGCAGTAACCTAGGCCAGGCTTCAAATAAAACCAAAATAACTTGAAGAGACAGGGCTACAAAGCTACAGAAGATGTGAGATACCTATCATTTGGGATGCCTGAAAAGTTGTTGTCCATCTTCTGTACATTATGTCCTTGTACACCATGTTGTGCTGGTATGACATCATTATGGCAGCCAGAATCTCTGGTTTTCAATATTTTGCATTTTGAGCCCAGTCCATATTTAAGTTGTTAAAATGAGGAACCCTGTAATTCAAGCAGCATACCACCTCAAAATTTTTGAAATCAATGCAGTCTTTTCTTAAAAGTGCTGGTTCTATTACCAGTGAAATTAGACTTAAGAATCTGGCAGACAGAATCAACAGCACAAATTTTAGAAATCTTGGCACACTTTTTTTTCTTCATCTTTAGGAGAAACATCCAAGTGTTTCATAACCAATCAGGTAAAAAAAAACCTACCACAAAAAATTTGAAATAATTGTATCATTTCCATGGCTCAAAGCAGTCAAGTGTGTGTTTATTACATATTTGATACAAGTATCTTAAAAAAGTTCAGTTAACTGTAAATCAAGTTTTCAAGGGGTAAATGTCTCATGTCAGGTGATGCTCAGCTCCAGTCCATTTCCAGGGCTAGAGTCCAAACCCAAATCCCACCCTGCAGGCTGTGTGTCCTGCATGTGCATTGTGCTCTATTCTAGCCATTCATATGCAAGATTAAGAGGAAATGTGTAAAATTAAGTACTCTTGGGCTTTCTCCTTTCATCATACTTGCATGCTTTTAATGGCACGATCATTCCAAATACCTAGAACTTATTTTCTCTTGTTTTGCCTGGGAGGAGTATGTGGTTGTTTATTTGCTTTTTTCTGCTTTGTTAAAGTTGAGTCTAGTTTAAATCTGATCCTGTAAGCCATGGGGATATATGATAGTTTTGTACTTGTATTGATCTATGTAAGACTCCTTACTGAAGCAGGGGACCACCCATAAGAACAGTAAAAGTGTGGTCTGCTTAACCCCTGCCCACCTATTACTGTGGGAACATTGCCCTGGCCACAGTTTCTTTCTCTCCATAACTGCTCCATTTCAAGTAGTCTGCAATTTTTTTTATTTTTAATTTTTTTTTAAACTTTGCTGAGGTTTTAGCTCCATTTGCAAGTTCAGAGTAGAAAAGGTTTCTTCACCTCTTCAACATGTTCTTCCTGCTTTCCAGATAAAAACCATCTTGAGTGGGTTCATTATTAGGGGCTACCTGGGAAAATGGACACTTTTAATCAAAACTGTCACCTTGGTTCTGGTGGTATCTTCAGGCCTCAGCCTTGGGAAAGAGGGGCCGCTAGTCCATGTGGCCTGTTGCTGCGGAAACTTCTTCAGCAGCCTGTTCTCAAAGTACAGCAAGAATGAAGGAAAGAGGAGAGAGGTGAGGTTGCCTCAAATAATGTCTAATTTCCTTGTCCAGGTACTCAGTGTTTTGAAGGACTCACACCTTGCGTGTCAATATTTGCTTTGTAGGTGCTCTCAGCTGCAGCTGCCGCAGGAGTATCTGTTGCCTTTGGGGCCCCAATCGGAGGTGTGCTTTTTAGTCTGGAAGAGGTGAGATCTGGCAGTTCACTTGCTTCAAGAAGTATACTTTCGACTTTCACTGCCTTTAAACAATATTCCTCTTTATTTTTCAAATATTTATTTGTTTATTTTTATGCTAAAGTAGAAAGAATCTTTAATTTCTAGTAAGAAATGATCAGGTATTTTAGCGTAATTTGAGTAAAAGAAGAGCACTGGATTTCTGGAAACAAACAAAATTGTTCAATCTGGAAATATATCACAGTGCTGAACCTTCTCCAGCTTTCAGCCCACTGTTGCATGGGCTGAACTGCCAAGCACTCATCTCAGCATCTCTAGACAGCAACTTTGGATTTAAATTTATCAACTTTTCTCTTGTTGCTGCTCCCTATAAAAAAATGTCTTTTCTGATATCTTTGTGAACGTGTTCTGGCTATGGTAAGGACCGGTGTTCCCAGAAAAGCCAGGTGTAGAATCACAGATGAAACACAGGTCTTACTGTGTGCTGTGCTCCTGTGAATAATTAAAGCACATACTCTCTGTCTCACTCAGTGAAGCGTTTACAGTCTCTGCTTCGTTTTAGGTCAGCTACTACTTTCCTCTCAAAACCCTCTGGAGGTCATTTTTTGCTGCTCTCGTGGCTGCCTTCACACTGAGGTCCATCAATCCTTTTGGAAACAGCCGGCTGGTCCTGTTCTATGTGGAATACCACACCCCCTGGTACATGGCTGAGCTCTTCCCCTTCATCCTGCTCGGCGTCTTCGGTGGCCTCTGGGGGACCCTCTTTATCCGATGCAACATCGCCTGGTGCAGGAGGCGAAAAACCACCAGGCTGGGGAAGTACCCGGTGCTGGAGGTGATAGTGATAACAGCCATCACTGCCATCATCGCCTACCCCAACCCCTACACCCGGAGGAGCACCAGCGAGCTGATCTCAGAGCTCTTCAATGACTGCGGTGCCCTGGAGTCCTCGCAGCTCTGCGACTACATCAATGACCCAAACATGACCCGGCCGGTAGACGACATTCCTGACAGACCTGCTGGCCCTGGAGTATACACAGCCATGTGGCAGCTGGCCTTGGCTTTGGTGTTTAAAATTGTCATCACCATATTCACCTTCGGCATGAAGGTAAATGGGAGGCGGGCACAGAAGCTGTCACGAGCACACAGCATGGATGGGTTGCCATCAGCACCTGGGGTCTACCTTGCGGGCTTTGTGTGCTGCTGCTGACCTACACCCAGCCCCACAGGTGTAGCTGACATGCCTGCTGGTTTACCCACCCACCAGCACCTTGCTCTGAGGGCCCCTGTCACTTCAAAGGGATGAGCCCTGCCTTTCCAGATCCTAGTCATCTGCAGCTTTATCGAGTGAAAATGAAATCTGAGTGTGAATGCAAATTCTTGCCAAAAAGCAAATTCATGATTATTCCCACTGCAGCTGTCTTTCTGCTCTCTCAGGGTTATGTACTATTTACACTGTTATTTGTCTTGTTGGATTTATGTCTCAGCCTGCCTCAAGGTAGCCATGCTCAGAGAAGCAATAGCTTTGAATTTACTGGTGCACACATTTAAAACCTCACAAAAATATAAAAGTAGCTGAAAGATTATATTTTTAAATCTTTTTAAGGACTGTAGCTTGGAAAAAAATAATAATGAGAGAATGAGTGGGAGGACTGACAGATGTGCCATTTGATTATTCTGGATTTGCAGCTTTTTCCTTCCATTCCCCCTCCTCCCCATAAATGAGTGATGAAAGGTCCAAGAGCAATTTAACCAAGCTTTCAATATATACAAAGCTGTTTGTGGTGAGTTTTATATATCTGATTGCTAGAGCCCATATAAAACACATATCTGTCTGTCTACAGCTCCCATTATCTGAGCATTTAGTCCTGGATCTGATTGCAGCAGATGATGGGAAGTTTTTCTCAGTTACACACTCTATGTTATGCCACACTCAAAGCTAAAACACCTCATCTTTCTCTTAAAAACTGAGCTGGAACTGAGGATATATCTTTTAGAAGACCTGCTATCCCAAAAGAATAGAACTTGTTGGTGTTTGTTTAGCTTTTATTTTGTATTTTCTTCATTTGGGATGTCCCTGATGACAAGACCTGCTGAATAGTAGAAGGTCGCTTAGAATCAGTGGCTGAGTCCTGCTGATTTCCTGAGCAGGAAGAATGGGTGGCAGTTCAAGAGCACAGGAGTAATATTTCTGAAGGGGGATTTGAAATGAGATGCCTTTCAGTGCAGAAAGTGATCTGTGTTTCAACTGGCAGCCAGTTGTTGTTATGCTTGTTCATTTGTTAGAAAACTTGTGAGTTTGATTCTTTGTTTGCTATGTGGTTCTTTATTTATTCTATATATTTAAAATGTGTTAGAAGTAATTGACAGTTTCAACTATTCTTGAAAGGAACAGACAAAATATCTTTACACATCAAATCTAGAAGGCACTGTAAGACTGTTACATTAACACTATATGGTGGGAAATAGAGCTTCTGCTGTTATCATCTCTGACAGCCCTGGGCCATGCCAAGGTTGTTGGTTGAGTTGTTTAGGAAGCTCAAGGGGTATTTTCAGAACTGAGAAGATCTAACAGCCTTTTCTCTCTAACAACAACAAAACCTCCATGCAAGCTCTTGCAACAGATCTCTTTTCTCCACCAGGAAATTTATCTCCAACTTGACATCTAAGAGGAAATGCACTTAGTGAATTTTCATTTTCTGTTATTTTATTTTTTCATTTCAAGACTGTTCTTTAATGATTTGTGACTTGTCTGTGTAGCAGACAACAAGGTAATGATTCACAGAACTTTCTGCATAATATATAGCAAACTGAGATGAAGAAATAGCTGCCTCTGAGCAGCAAGCCTTGTTTCTCTAAATTTTTATTCTGTGTTTGACATTTAATTTAAAATTGGGTCTGATTTAGCCTGAAAGGGTAGTAATAAAACCATAAAATACTCTATGTGTTAGATGTTGAAATCAAGGGGTTATTTTCAGTTAAGCTGATTCTCAAGCCCATGACAGAACCACCAGCAGCTCCTGCCTTCCTGCAATAAAGGCAAAAGCAGGAGCATCTTGACTTTAAAAGCAGACTGTTATTGAGAAACCCCATTTATTTATCTATTTCAGTACTATACAGTAGGTAGGATTCAAAATTACTTTAAAAAAACACATTAACATTTTAAAAAGCTATTAATACACATGTAGCCACACCAACTCAGTCACTTTAGAAATCTATCTCAGGCCACTCAAACATCATTATGGGCCTTCTGAGCTAGCATTTAACAAGGAACTGGTGTCTCTTAGTGCTAATAATAATTTGTTCACTCAATAAGTTCATTGCTAGTCTTTTTTGTCAACATGCTCATGTGTCTGTATTTTATTCAAGATCCCTTCAGGTCTTTTCATTCCCAGCATGGCTGTTGGAGCCATGGCTGGCAGGATGGTTGGGATTGGAGTAGAGCAGTTGGCATATCACCACCATGACTGGATCATCTTCAGGAACTGGTGCAGACCTGGGGCAGACTGTGTCACGCCAGGACTTTATGCTATGGTGGGAGCGGCGGCTTGCTTGGGTACAGTACCTGCTGACCATTGCTTTCTCCATGGATACTGCTGATGTCTGGGGACCTACAAATTGTTTATGAAGGCCTGGTGTTTGCGTTGGGTGCTAAGCTGGCATTTCTGGACTGAACAGATGTGATGGGCTAAAGCACGAGCAGCTTCCTCAAATGGTCTCTCCAGTGATGTGCCAGTTAGTCAAGAAAAGAGAGGTTTGCAGTCACCAATGCCTGCTGCTTGCAATCTGTCAAAAAGCATGCAGAAGGAAAGAAAAAATTCAAGTTAGGCTACAGGTTTCCAAGAAGGAGTGTTTGGGTTTGTTTTGGTTTGGTTTCCCTTATGGTGTAATGAAATCCACTGTAGCTGGACTAAGGCTAATTCCTTGTTCAGACTGCTCTCTGTCAGTGCAGGGAACAAACTTCCCAGTTTGGCTAAATTTTAAGTTACACAGAGATAAAAATTCTGAGGCTTATTTTGGCTGTCTGTTATACTACGGTCAACTGATCTGTCTTTTGGCTTTTGTTTTCACCATAAGGCAAATATCTGATTACATTCAATCAATAGGATTTATTGGATGTAACAGGAACGATCTGTTAACTATTAAAGCAAGATCACCCATTAATACCTCACATATCAAGTTTCTAGTCATAGATGCAACAGAAATGTTACAAGCATATCATCTGAACACGTTTTTAACTGATCATCTCTTGCCTTCTGGACTCGTATGGTCTACCTCCTTCTGTTGTTGCTGTTGACACTTTCATTAGACTATGAAATGGTAGTGGGGAGGCATAACATGATTAATGTAATTGGGTAGATTTGAAATGAAAGATGTCCTCAGGAAAGAGCTGGAAGAGTTTCAGTTTTGGAGTAGGATCATTTGTGTGATCATTTATAGAGGAAGGAAGGGTGGGATTTGCTTGTCTAAATTTAATGTCTATAATACAGATGTCAGCATCTGGGCTGGTTGTGTTGATACCCTTCATAGTCAAAACAGAAAAATGAGATATTGGAAAGATCAGGCTCATGTGGAAAGAGACACCTAAACCCAGGCAAATGTACAGATGAATTTGGCCTCAAAAGTGCCTGTTTTTGTTTGTTTGTTTGTTTTTCCCCAGAGATTATAAAGGCAACCTGCATCACCTCTTTGGATGTGAACACTACAGCAGTGTAGACACAATTATTTCAGTATTTCAGCTAGGATGAATGTTACTGTCAAAAAGAGTGGCACACTTCTTGTCCATAAATGATCTTAATGTTCATAAAATAAACTAATTGTCCTCTGATATTCCAGTTTATTTGCTAGCTAGCAATCACTTCTTCTTTCAAAAGGTCCAAATCAAGGTGCAGTAATTTTGATAATATGGTGAGACATACAGCAGAATGGTCACTACTCATTCTTAAGCCCAAGATCTGTCTAGCTTAGAGTAAGAGGTATAGACTAAGTATTAAATGATTCTTACTCTGGTATCTGCTCTCAGCTTTTCAGAGTCAGAAGTTTAAGGCATTCCTCAGATGAAAGTTATATCCGGATCATCGTGTTAAATAAAAAACAATTCAATTTTCCTGTATGCTGCTAGATTAAAAGCGTCCTTTAATGACCTGTTTCTGATTTCCCTCATCTAAAATGGTGCTGTATTTTGAGGCCCCAAAATAACAGATTTATTACATTTACCTTTTGAACAGAGGCAAAGAAATGTTACCTAATAATTCAGTGATGCATACATACTTGCCTGCTGTTATGTGATTATTTTTATCCTTTAATGTAAACTGAAGAAGGAGAAAGGGGCTTGCTTATGAAATTAATACAGAAAGACTAGAAAACTACAGCTACAACCCTGTCTATGGCTGCATGCCTAGATGGCCTCAGACCAAACTGTATACAGTTCAAACTGTATGTTACACTGATATAAAAAGCTAGGATTTAAGCTTTATCATAGCTCTTGCAGTGGTCTTAAACTATCCTTACGTAGGATTTTGTAACCATGTCATGTCCAAAGATAATGCTTAGCTTTCTGTTCTGTATGAATGTGATCGTTAAACCAATGCGAAGGCTCTCAATGCTCCTCCCTGCCCCAGGCCGTGGTGTTTAGCTGATTCTTAGAGTAAGTTTAAAGGGTTTATGGCAGGATCCAGTATTAGTTCCTTTAGTATCTAGTATAGCTGATATTTGGCATGCTTTCTGGTGTGGTAGCTCAGACTTTTAGCATGCATTATTTGCCTTCCAAATTTGCTAACAAAGATGTTAGCATCTTTGGCTTGAGCAAGTTCACTCAATCATTTTGATGAAAATTGCAGTAGACTAAAAAAAAATCTCTTTCTTCAGTGAAATAAGCCCCCAAATACTACACAAAGTATAGGGGCCAACTACTCAGCATGAGTATAAGACTAAAATATATAAATGAGTTGCTCAAGAGCACTGAGGGAAACTTCTCTGCTTTTCTTATTGGCAGGTGGCGTTACCCGAATGACTGTGTCTCTGGTGGTGATTATGTTTGAGCTAACCGGAGGCCTGGAGTACATCGTACCTCTTATGGCTGCAGCTGTCACAAGCAAGTGGGTGGCAGATGCCTTTGGGAAAGAAGGGATCTACGAAGCTCACATTCACCTGAACGGCTACCCCTTTCTGGATGTGAAGGATGAATTCACCCACCGAACCCTGGCAACTGACGTCATGCGACCGAGGCGTGGGGAAGCTCCTCTCTCTGTGCTGACGCAGGACAGCATGACGGTGGAGGATGTTGAGACACTAATCAAGGAGACTGACTACAATGGCTTTCCAGTGGTGGTTTCAAAAGACTCAGAGAGACTTATTGGATTTGCACAGAGACGAGAGCTGATTCTTGCAATAAGTGAGTATGGTATCCGAGTATATAAGTTTGATTTTGATAGGAATTGATAGGGTAGGATGCTACTAGTGTTATTCACCTTGAAGAATGGATAAATAAGAAGCAAACCTAACTTCTTCTTCAAGTCTGGCTTTTACTAGTTGCTAGGATCCATAGCTGCAGGCTTTTCTATTGTAGCATATCTCCTCTGTGGCTTGACTTTTGTGTGCTTAATTTTATTGTTACTCACAACAGTACAATACAATTCTGCTAGAGAAAAGAGAGATAAACCAAACTCATGGCCAGAAGTTTTGTCAGAACCAGTTGAAAATCCACTGCAGCGCTGAGCTTCCTGTATCCATTGGCAGCTGGGGCAGTCATGAATCTTTGTCACACAGGGAGAAAGTTCAAGTCCCTGTGCTTCTTTCTGTTGCACTATGTCAATGTTTTTCACATCCAGGCCTTTTCCACTAGGAGTGCAAGGCCTTCCAGTGGAGCATACTGTTTGGTAAAGATGGCTGAGTTTTGTCAAGCATCCATTGGAAAGCTGGCTGGTTGCCTGAGAGTCCAATGCAGGTCATTGCAGGTTTTGCCCCATCAGGTGCTCTCCTTGTTGGCCTGATAGCTAGGTGGGGATTGAAAAGACAGGTACATTGGATGAAACAAGGGTTCCCACCTTCCCCACATCCAGGGCATCTAGAACTGCACAGGTCTGTGAGCCTGGCAAATCAGCCCCACAATCTGCTCTCAATTCTGGCAGTCCTGTGGTGCTGAGGACCAGCTGGGCAGGCAGACAGGCAGCTGGCTGGGCACGGTTGCCTTCTACTTTTCAGGGGATGTCTGGCATATCCAAATCTCCTTGATGTAGAATTATTCCTCTCTGAATAGGCCTGTTTCATCTCTCTACTTAAGGCACTTTTGAAAAGCTGTTGTCTCAGCTGGAAACTCCACTACGCTTCAGAAAAGAAAATCCACAAATAGAAAATCACTTTTCACAAAAATAAAATAAAATGTGAAGTAAAGTGCTCTTTAAAGCACCTAGCTTTTTAATGTTTGTTTCTTAAAAAAAACAACTTCATCTCCTGGATGTAAAAATACTCAATCTAAGTGACTAGACCTACAATTTTTACTAATTTGTTTATGGACACTCAGCTGTTAATTGATTCCTCCTTCTCATCCTATAGCAAAAAAGCCACCAATGCTACATCAATACTACATGCAGAAGAAGAAGTGTCAGACCCCATTTTTTCCCCCCCTTAAAATGTGGTGCAGTATTCTCTTCAGTAAGACACTACTTTCTCAATTTTTCTTTTCTGTACTTGTCATTTCACCTAGAGAAAACATTTAATGAACTGAATTATTTTTTCATTTTGTTATATCACTAATTTCTCTAAATGCAGGGAAGCAGAACAGGCCTTACTGCTAGTTCTACAGGTCCTGTCATTCTACAATTGTAATTTAACTTCAAAGGAGTGTGGGAATCTAACTTTTTCATTAAAAGCCCACTATCACTGGTTGCTCCTTCCTCCTCCAAAAATAAGTCTCCATGAAGTTATAATCCTCTGCATACCAATCTCTGTATAAGAGGATTTTAGAGACACCAAGATGAAGTCCAAGGCTGCTAGCTGCAATACTCCTTTCAAACAACTGATTTTCTCAGAGGACTAATCTTCCTTTGGTAGGAACAAAAGATGCTTTATATGGTCAAGCTAAGAAAGTTAATAGCGTCTGAAGTTGTGCCAAATGTGTAAACACCAAGAGCTGATACCATTTATAAAATATTTTGTATTTTATCCTGCTTTTGCTAATGCTTTTCAGTGGTCTTCTGCATTCCCTGTGAGGGAAAAAAAGAACCTTAATTAGATGTATTTAGCCTACTATGTGTCTGGCTTTTACACTGTGTGTGCCATGTCATGGCTGTAACGCTTGTTGCCATCCTACCTTTATAGTTGTTTGCATCTCCTTTGCAAGGAGGTATGTCAGTGGGAAAATCGCATGGAGTGAAGATGCAAACCTCTCACTTTACAAGCAGAAAGATCAGACACTGTCTGAAGCAGATCAGAGAAGTTTGGGGAACTAAGTCTTAATTCAGGTCATAAATGGCAACATGGCTGAATGGGCTTGTTAGGAGATATGTCAAAATGTCCAGTTATGTCCTGCCCTGTTTGACAACTCTTCTCTTTGACATCCACGTTTTCCAGAGGAAAAGGTACTGTTTCCTGATCAGTTCTAATTAAGAGCATCTTTCATAGACTCTGGGGCAGAACTGAGATTTGAAATAAAAAACTTCTCTGTATAGATATGTTTTCCTAAAATCCTCAGCTGTCAGGGACTGTTGGTCATCCTTTTTCTCTTGTGTTGATTATGACGGCTCTTGATGTCGTTCTCCATTGACTCTGTGATAAATAGCTAGTATTTCCAGTATGCTTTGTGTCTTTGTGACTTAAAATACAGATTTGTTTTCATTTTTCCAAAAGACACAGTATATGGTTCCAGTACAGGGCAGGGAAGAACACTGGTTTTATACCATGCTAGCAACTTTTTGATAGCTAATCCTCTTTCACTGAAGACCAAAGTTGCTTTGCATTTATTGCAGGAGTCATCACTGCTCATCATTACCACAGAGTAGCTAATGTGTTGCAAACCTTCACCTCAGCTAGTTTCAGAGTTGTGTCCATGGAGCCATACGCTAAATCCCCTTAGACTATAAAATGACTTGCCAAGAGGTAAACATCACAGGTGGTGAAGCATCTTTTATTCTCCTGTTCAGATTCTTATTTCCTGCTCAGGCTGACAGCATCCAGAGATACTGGAGGTCTGTCTGGGAACAGTACAAACCCCATCTGTGTAGTGCTATAGCCAGAGAATGAGGTCCTCTAAAGATCAGAGTGAGGCCCATACCAATATCTCTCCTTTCACTGCATTGTGACCTGCAGAACACCTCATTTTGAGCCAGCTTTAGTGCCTTCATATGATAACATGTTACATGATGCAGACACATGATTTCAACCAAGAAGGTTCAGCTTCTTTCTCTGGCCCAATAAATTGTGCATCAGTAGGGTGGTGGCCCAGGGAATACTCTGGGAAAGTACTCCAGTTCCCTCCCACAACTGACTTACTGGATGAATGCAATAGCTGTAGAGTCCCACATCAAATATGTGTTCACACACAGATCTCTGCCTTGTGACTTACACCTATATAATGTCTTTCTTACTAAGTGGAGCACTAAGCATGTTCTAGAAATGCATCCAGTCCTTGCAAAGAGAATGAAAATGTCACTGCCAGTTGCTCAGAAGTACCTTCAGGAGGATTGCATCCCTCCACTGGTCCTTGTTGAGCAGGTAAGCAGGATGGGTGGGCAGAGTCACTCTCTGGAAATAGGTGTCTACATTGTAGATGGCACCTACCTTATAGTCTAATGGAGGGGAGCATTTGACCCTGTAAAGCTCTTCTTAAATTTGGCCAGCTTCAGAGGTATTGTACAAAAGGCAGAGTCTTGGATGCAAGCCACTTGGCCTCTATAATGTACTTCTTTCAGTGTGGAGGTAGGAAAGCAACATAGTTAATATAGGCTGTGAACTGGTAACTCCTGAATAGGAGAAGCTGCTCTCACATTGAGAAAACTAATTCACTCTCTAGCTATGACAGATGACTGTAAAACAGACACTGTCATCCATTTGCTTTGCTCCTTCTGTTAAGCTGTATCTGTTTCTTACTCACTGACTGCAAAAATGATCTGTTCTTCTGTTTTACCTTTTACTCCCCCATCCAGTGAGACTGCATACAAAGTCCACCATTTTTTCTGATGCCACTGAATTTGCTCAATAGTACTACATCACTCTAATTTCTCAAGAGAGATGCTTGACTTTGAAGAGTGAAGTCATGGCTTTGGCTAATCTGTTGTCCAGGGTCATTGCTGCCTTGGGAACAGCAATGTACTAACTGAAATACTTCGGCCTATTGCTTTGGGTGCAGCTTTGGGAAGGAAATACCTAGCTGTCAAGGGTTTTTATCAAAGGGTGGGAGTTCCCTTCAGTTTGATTAATGTTACCTCTTACCACAGATCATATATCAAAGAACTATGCACGCATGTTCACACTTGAAATTAGATGTATAAATCAAAACAAGATGAGACAAAGTTAGCATCATTCTTTTAAATTGCAATAGGGCTAGTAATAGGCTGGGTGAGAAGGCTGAAAATCATATACTGTACTGATATTAGGTTTGAGCCAGCACTGCTCCAGTTCCAGAAATATACATCATTAAAGGAAAAAAATGCAGCTGGAACATGTTGGAAACCATTACTGTCTGCACATTACAAGTCACAGGAGCAGGTTTCTGCACTTTGACTGATGGCAATGAGCTCCAAGAATATATATATGCACTTTGAGTATGTCTGATTTGCTGTACCTCTCAAGAGCAGAAGGAGCCTGTATTAATCAGAGATAATAATTCTAGCAATTTCCAAGAATTTATTAAAAAACAAAATTTAGATCCTCAGAGCCAAACACATGCTTATGCTGGGGAGAGAGAAGTGTCTATCATTTGGAAATCCTTCTCATATATTGGTTACGCCCTGCAGTGTTGAGTAGAAATGAGGTAAACACTACAAAGAAAATAAACTGCTCCAATATCAAAAATACTTGTTGGAGCCTACTTTTAAAAGGCTTATAATGATCATGTAAAGCCCAGATGTAGTGTAAAGCTCACTTTTTGGATCAAAATATGAAAGACAGCTTTTGAACTTTTGAAAGTAGTCAAATATGTACTGTTGAGAAAAATATACCAATCTCATTTACTTTCGTTTATTTTCCTTCCCATTGCCATTTTCCTTCAAGCAGGATGTTGTTTTTCCCTGCCCTTTTAAAATCTAGATATGCAAACTCTTTAGGCATTAAGTACAAATCCTCAAAATTTGCCTTGCATGCCAGAGAGGTGTGCTGTTCTAAAACACTCACATCACCCCCAGATCCCTGGGAAGTGAATTTGTCTTTCCCTAACTTAGTGTTCCTAAATTCATTCACCATGACCAGATTTCCCGCACTCCACTGAGGAGTCTGAGAACAAACATAGTACTCTGAGCCAGCTGGGACCATACCAGGCTGTTGACTCCTTTGGGCATATAATAGTAGTTTCTGTTGTAATTCTTACAATGGAGGAAATTACATACCATAATTTGAATTTAACAGAAATTGGATTAGCGATGTTTGTGAATGCAACCAGCTGCATATTTATTCAGAAAAGAAACCCAGGAAAAGTGTGTGTTTGTAAAAACATCACTTACATTTGCTTCAAGGGGAAAATGTCTCAAGGAAATTCATGTTTGCTCTTTAACCCCAACTTCTGGGATCTCAGTACGTTAAAGACAAAAAGCTAATATTACCTTTGCTTTCCAAAGATGAATGATTTTTTTTTGCTTTGTTTTGTTATCAAGCCTAACTCACTCTCTACCTCGGTCTTTCTGCTATACAGAGAATGCAAGACAGCGTCAGGATGGGGTGGTGAGCAACTCCATCGTGTATTTCACTGAAGACCCCCCGGAACTGCCACCCAACAGTCCCCATCCGCTGAAGCTGCAGCGTATTCTCAACCTGAGCCCTTTCACTGTCACTGACCACACGCCAATGGAGACTGTGGTAGATATTTTCCGGAAGCTCGGACTGCGGCAGTGTCTTGTCACTCGGAGTGGGTGAGTAGATGCTGAGTAGCACGCTTAGAGAATCTGAGATTTTCCTCAGCATTAACAAAAGCATGGTTTTTCCTGTTTAAAGCCAAGTGTAGGAAGTAGCACCTCTGAGACAGTCAAGTGAGTATTTTGATATTTGTTTATTTTGTGAATGGAAGAATAAGGGAAGCTCACCCAGTGTCCTCTGCAGAACAGCAAAAGAAGTCGGACTCAGAACCCAAGTGGCTCTTGCCAGGTGTCATGTTTCATTCTCTTCTCCCAAATCCTTAGCGTATTGTCATTTAGATAAGGTAAAGATGAATTAAAATTAAACTGTTCTGACTCCCACTATCATTCAGTTTTCAACAGAGGCAGATCTGGCAAGTAGTATTGTTTGCAAAATATATGCCTGTCTCTAGACATCCAGCTAGATTAGATGCTTGTGAAGACTGTGATAGAGATGTCAGTGGAGGAAATTTAATCTACTCAGCTTTCTTTAAAGCATAACAGAAAGGCATATAAACTGAAAGTCCACAAAGAGCAGCTGAAGAAGTATGGGCAAACATGAAATTAAAAGAGTAAAGGCTGCACCATGTATGCTAGAAATAACATGCCATAATTCCAATGGGATTTGAGCTATTTTGGAAGCACTTCTCACCTCAGAATTCAGTGGTAAGAAGAAACGTTACAACAGGAAAGCAAAACTAGAGCTATCATTTTCAACTGTGGAAGATTAAAATTTCATATTTTTGTTATTCAAATACATTGCAGCTTGTTACTATCAATGTAGTGTCCTCAGCATTAAGACAATAAGGTCTATATTGGGAAACAGATTTAGGTCCTGATTTTAGGTGCTTTGATTTGGGAATTTTGATCTTCAGTTCAAGCACTTACAAGAAATGAAAGGTGAAAAAACTATAGTTTCAAAATCCAGTCCCTCATGGCCTTCAAGAACTGGAAACAAAAGCCCTTGAATACTGAGGATTAGGGCATTTTTTACTCTTGGTGCCAGACATCCTATAGGCCTCATCTTTCTTGACAGATAGAATTAATTTGGGTTTCACATAAATGACTAAGTAACACTCACGTCTGAAGGAATTATGCTGTTGGACAGCGAGAGTTTCAGAAAGTCTGTGTTTTAGCTTATAAGTTTGTGTATTACTAAACCCCATGCCCTAGATCAGGGCACTGCAGCCTTGGCTTTGAGCTGTTGGTCCTCTGCAGTCTGAGCCTAAGGAAACTCATGATTTTGTTGTACAAAGTGTCAGTAGTTGTAGCTCTTCACTCAGTCATATTCGCAAAAAAAAGTTAACAACCCCAAGTATTTCACTTAATGATCGTGGCTGAGGTAGAGAGAATGCTTTTTATAAAAGATAATCACTGGGGAACATATGAGATGGACAGTGCTATGTGGAAGCATTCATAAGATGTCCCTGTAGCTTAAGAGGGCACAAGAAAGGATGATATATGAGATCACTGTTGACCTTTCCTTTCCTTTTCTCCTCTAGGAGGCTGCTGGGTATCATAACTAAAAAGGATGTATTAAGACATATGGCTCAAATGGCAAACCAGGACCCTGAATCTATCATGTTTAACTAGCCTGGTAAAGGAAGAACAAAGTAACCCCAAAGGAATTCCTTCTAGGTTAACATAAAGGCTGTGTTTGGTGTATAATTTGTTTAAAGAGAAAATGTAACATGTATGAGGAATGGCCCAATATGCCTGACGGAGGGAGTGGATGCAAGATGGCACTTATTTAATGAGGAAGGCAGTTTGGAGGCTCCAAGCAGCTGTAGACATCAAGCTGTTTCCTTAATGAGATTTCCAGCAGCTCAATTGGAGTGTTGGTGGGTGTAAGTCATGTAGTGCTTAGAGACAGAGCCAGGAGTGCCAGTGGGATGCATCAGTGTTCACACTAACTCTTGAGGCAGGTGCAAAGACTAGCAGACGCTGTTTATGTACAAGCCATTAACAGATGTAAAGATTTGTATTCCAAACTAAAGAGTGTGTATGAGTAACGTCAGCTTTTATTACTGAAATCATGGTTATTTATTTGTGACTGAATGATGCCATTTTCATGAGGGGAAAAAAAGTCATATTTTAAATGAAAATTTTTGTCATCTTCATTTATTTTTGTAGAAGTTAAGTGAACCAGGACTGGAGTTAAAGGAGCAAGAACACACTCCAACTCACTTAAAAACAAATTGTCCCCTGCTCCCTAATATAGTCCTTCAAATTTTATACATTTTAGCATTTCTGTCAATCAGTTTCCCTTTATTGATGTTGAAATGTGACTTGTTTGTAACAGTTTATTATTTCTCTATGCAATTTTGCATACAGGTACTGTAATATTTAGTATTATGGGGCTTGCTGTGACAACTGCAAAGAATATAGAAGCCTGTGGAGGAATTTTCAAAGGCGCTGAAGGGAGACTGGTATCCAGCTTTCAGCAATGTTAGTGACAAGAGTTTGAATCCTTCACCTGTCTTCCCTTGTGCATGTCATAATTTTTCACAAACTAATTAAGTTCTGCATTGATTCCTATTCTCCATTTAGTTCATCTTTGCTATTTTTTGGCAGCTGTCTGCGCCTGTCAAGAGATTGCTGAAGTTAATTTAACAGTCACAGACATTTATTCTGTAGCAGACCTACTCTTTATGCATCTGCCAGTCATAGGATTGTGGAATCCATCTCCACAACACTGTGGCTGGATAAGATTAAATGGACTGAGAATGTAAACAATGATAGAAAAGCTTTAATCATTGATCTGTCTGCAGCAGGAAGACAAGATTTAACAGCCCCTGTTAGGGACCTCCAAGTCACTCAGGTAAAAATGCTAAGTTTTCCTAAATCCTTGGTCCTGTGTGAGATGCACAGAGTCAACATTGTGTTAATATACTAGCACATTACTGCTATCAGAAACAGAAGACCAAATTCTGCTCTCAGTAACAGACAATCCACCATGCCCAGTGTGTGCTTTGAAACTGTAAGCTTAAAGACTGGAGAGAAGTTGCACCCTAACTTAGATGCCCTGAGTTCCTTTCAGACACTATGAGAGTGTGAACTGTTCACTTAGGCATCTATAACGTCTGGTATTTTTGTTCAAACTCATAAAGTTACTAGTAGCTCAAGTCCATTGTGTCCAGATGGTCTTCATGGACAGAGATGAGGGGAGTCCTTTCATGCCAGAAGGACCTGTTGCTTACTCCAGACAAAAGCCAGACTGATGATCCAACTTGTAGGCTACATGGATGATTATTGTGTTCCTAAACCAAGACAACCAGCCAGGTGCACCCTAAGCTAGATGCCCAGAGTCGCATGTTACAAATTCTTCTTCTTATCTCCAGTGACCCTGCTTCCTTCTGGCATGTGTCCCATTGCATTCACACAAAGTATGGCCCAAATTGTTTAAGTGAAAGAAACGGAAGGGATAATTTTAACCTGCTAAATGCTCCATTTAACAATAGTGTCTGCAACAGACTGACATAAATATATGTAGCTCTGGCCAAAGCCCACAAATGTTTCAGTGTATACATTTTGTTAACTGAACATCTGCACTACAATGTATTATGAAAGGGTTATTGTTTAAACTATATAAACTACAAAACTGAGCAACCCTTTCCTTCTGAAAATAGGAAATACAACATAATATTGTTGTTTCTTATGTTTTTCTGTGAAGCTATTGTCAACCAAACTCATAAAAAAACCAACCAACTCAACCAAGCTCACAGACATTGGATGCCCTCATGTGAACAGAGACGCAATCATAAAGTCAGTGCATTCCCACAACTAGACCCAAGAAGGGCTTAGTACAAATGTTAGTTCATAGTCAAAACTAGAATCTAAGGGATCTGGACTAAGATAAGTAGGCTGAATTTTGAGGGTAATCTTATTCTGAAATTAAAACTGAAGGACTGTTATACTTTTGACTTCTATAGCTCTTAATGTCAATACATACATGTTTGATGAGCACTTTCTCCATCTTCCCATATGTTTACAGAGGAAACAAGTATACATACTCTACCCACTTGAAGATTAAAATACCTCTTTCACTCATAAATGAAAAGAAATACATTGAGAAGTGAATTTATCTGCTATTTGAAATCAAATTCAAGGCTTCATGTATGTCAGAAAAAAGGACAGATCTAAAGCCTTCTCTGTTAGCCAAGAAAATTTCAGTCCATGCTGCATTAGCATGTAGTCCATGGCAGAACAAACTCTGTAGAGCATTGATTGATAGTACTGAGGGCAATGTTCACTGACAGGTACCAGGATGGTATATCAATGCTGAAAAAACATTGTCATTTCCTAAGAAAAAGACACAGAATCACCTAGCTGAGGTTAAACTGCCCATGAATACAAACTCACTTGGGTATTGACTTAGATTGTCAGCTTAAACTCACTCCATGGCTATGCATAGACATAAACTTTTGTGGCTAATTCCCATTAATACCCAGAGGCCTGATCCATTAAAGCCAACAGTCAGCCCTGTGATAGCTTGTTGCCTTGTCTCAACAGACTGCATATGAGGAGCCATCTGGCTTAAGAACAGGATCCATAAAACCACTATGGTAAAAAACAACAGAAAGAACTGTGATTTATGCACTTATTGCAGGTGCAGTTTGACCCTGGGACTAGCCCCCAGGCAGAAGACAGGTACATTGATGTCCAGCTTTTTTCTATCTATTCTCTTTAGATGGAACGGTTTAAATATCTAGGGGGTCAAGGAAAAAAGCTTTGGATGTGTAACTACATAGGTGGTTAGACTGCTGTTTCTTGTTCAAAATGTGCTAAACTTCCTTAGAGCAGGGACTGATATTTAGCTCTCCAGAAATAGCATAGCCATAGCTGACTTCAGCTGCTTGACATTATCTAGGCTGAGGTGATGCTAGAATGACAAGAAGGGTTTTGAAACTGGACAGGCTTTACTAATTAGAAAACTTAACACTTCCGACACTTCTGGAGGCAGTAATTGGCTTTCTCTTGAACTTCCTCCATGCTACAGTATTCATTGCTCTTTTAGCTTGAGTTGCTGAATGGAAAACAGTCTTAATATAAATTAATAACATGTTTTTCTCAAAAAAATGCAGTTTTGATGTAATGGTTTAATCTATTTTGCCACAACAAGCCCATTATCAGTCACCGTTTTCCGTCTGTATTTCCAAATGTCTTGGAAGTTACTGAATTGGCTCCAAGAGTCATAGATCTCAGCCTCAAGTATTTATTTGAATTTTCAGAGCTCAAGATAATCACGTAGCCTGATGAATCTGAGAGTTACGTAAGTGCTTTAGAATATATTGCTTATTTTATGCAACTTCAGTCCTTGTGTTCAAGCAGCTGGGTTTTGAAGATGTCAAACTAAACAAGAGAACAAAAACCTTTAAATTATTTAAGTTCAGTATTGTACCTTTGTTTTGCATGAACTGTGTTACAGTTACATTCAGCTTCCAATGTGTGTACTTGAAGCAATCTGTACTGAGAAAGTCTACTACTGAAATACAGAACATGGATGACATTAGCCAGACCCTTTCGCTGTCTCAGTGATACAAATTATTAATTCTTATGCTTTGATGAAGCATGGAAAGAATGTTTAAGATTTAGTGGAGATTCACTGATTCTGTGTTGGAATGACACTATAATTATGAATACTGTTTTGCTTTGTTTTTGTTTTTGGTTTGTTGTTTTTTTTAATTGTAGAAGACAGTGTGCATATGTGGCACCTTATCAAAAACAATGTTTGGACTCTATTTTTTAAATAAAACTGACTTACATGGAAACATTTCTTGAACATCTTATTAATTGGAGAAGCATTTCACTTCATCTCGTTGTATGATTTTGATGTATTATTTTCCCACTTATAGGGATAACTCAAGCCTGATGAATGATTTAGGTTATCTGATTCAGTAATTCTGATATATTCAGTATTCTGATTCAGGGTTAGTAAAATTCACACAGTGGACTTCAAAGAATCAGCCTTAACAGCTGGCTGTTTTATTTACAAAGAGAAGTGTTTTTTACTTCAACATTGTAAGTCTTTTATTTTAGAAATCTAAAAAGAGAAGAAAAAAAATCATCTCCTACCAGGTTGTTCTGTTTACAATAACCATTACAGTTCTTTAAGGCTAGATGCTGCAAAGCCCTGAGGATTTCAGTTTTTGTGTATATATTTGGTCTCACTTCAATCAGAGCTAAGCTCCAAGACTGAAGATGGCAGGTTCAGTCATGCCTACATAATTGGATGAAGCATTCCTTAACTTTCTGTCAGAGGCTAACTTTTAGGTAACAAAAAAGAACACAAGTTTCATCCTGGTTAATGTACCAACCAAGCAAGTAGAAAGGCACTATGGCTTTGTGCAAATGAGACATTAATCAATGGCTTACTGAAAAGAAGCATTACAGATTTCAAGTCATTTTTTAAAAAATAAGCTTGATAAAATTGATATATCAGTAATATCCTAAGTTATATTACTCATTTCAAAAGCTGGTCCTGGATTCCCAGGGCCTCCAGCTTCTTCCATAGATTGCTGTGGCCCTACCATGGCACAATATGCACACTAAATATATGCACACAAAGCCAGAGGGCATCAGGCATGCAGCAA